GGCGGTTACGTTCAGCAAGCTTTCTGGAGCACCTGCTGGCCGAAGGCAGCGCTGGGTGACTCGGAATCTGCGCCTTTCCCCCCTTTCTTCCTTTCTAGGAGCCCTGGAAGGATGTATGGACGGAGTTCTCACCTCTGGAGAGGAGTCGAAGATGACACGCTTCCTTCCTTCTAGGATAGTGTTAGTGTTAGTTTTTCTGTAGTGATTAAACTCTGAGCTTGCTGGGCTAGAAACGTCTATGGCTAAAGAACAAGAAAGAGGACGGGGCTTGAGGGAAGTGTGCAGGGCAGGTGACAGACAGTGGGGAGTCCTTTGATGGGAGGCTGAGAGACATCCGGGGGTCTGGGACAGCCAGTGGGTTTCCCTTTCCAGGCAAAAGGAATAGGAAAGAGCCTGCTCTGGCTACGACAGCAAGAGTCAGCGCCAAGTTCCCAACGTGGCAGGCCTTCCGGGGACGGCAGACAGGCTATGCTCAGACAGCCATACTCCCTGGAGAGCATTCCCGTGGATCCCGCTATGCTTTTAGTTTCATAGGAGACCTCCGAAGCTTGAAGCATCCCAGCAAGGGAGGACGAGGGAGGTGACGTGAAAGTGATTTATCACAGTTTAGGAAACGTGCTATCTTCTGTTCACCTTATGTTTGAAGGATGAAATCCATACCCACCATACTGAGGTGTCATTAAAGACTTAAAAGTCCACCTGTCTACAGAAGGAAGAGCTGAAGGACGGATGAATTCCTTAGGAAGGTTTGGAAGAGGTTACTGAAGGAGATGGCAGTGGAGTCCCAAGGAAGGGGAGACTTTTCCCTGTTTGGGAATCAGGATGGGTGGAGAGAACAGTCCAGTTGTGTAGATCTGTTGATTTAAACAAAAGCCTAGAGGCTGGAAAACTGCACAGTGACAGTGCTTATCAGGATTTTGGAAGTGATGAGATTGGAGGGGATCTGAACCCATATGCCAAGGGCCTTGCCTGACAAATCTGGACTTTATCTTTTAGGCCCTGAGAAGCCATTGGATGGTGGCATGATCCACTGTTTTGGAAAGGAAAATGGGGTTCTAAAGGATGGATTGAGGGGGGAAAGGCAAGAGCAGAGAGGCCAGGTGGGTGTTCAGTGTAGAGGCAAGAAGAAGGGCCAGCTTACTGAAGCACTGTTTTGCCCACTGTATTTTCTATGTTCTATTGTGCCCCAAGCTTTATGGCTTAAAACAACACTAATTTCTGGAGGACAGATGTTGGACATGGGACTCAGTGGGCTAACGAGGTGTCTGTAGGTGTTACATTTCTTTCTAGGGCTCTAGGGAGAATCTGTTTTCTTGACTTTTTCAGCTTCTAGATGCTGCCTATGTTCTTTGGCTCATGGCCCTGATGTATGTTCAAAGCCAGCAACAGCCAGTTGAGTCCTTCACTCACGTACCACTCAACGCCCTCTTCTGCTTCCCTTTTTCACTCCTGTGAACCCTTATGGCTACATTGGCTTGCCTGGGTAATCCAGAACACGCTCCCTAGTTTAAGGTCACCTGACTGGCAGCCGACATTTCATCCATGGCTGTAATTCCCCTTTGCCATGTAACCTAACATGTTCGCGGGTTCTGGGGACCATGATGTGGCCATCTTCAGGGATCACTATTCTGCCGTCCATACCTACTTTTACACCAGGCTGAGGTCTTGGCCTGAAGATGAACACTGGCTAATACGGAGCAACTACCTTATCTTTTATAGTATCTACCTAAGACAATGGAGGAAAAGCCTTTTAAAATTAGGTGAGGTGGGCCGCATGGCCTGGCAGTTGAAGCAGCTCGATCCCACACGGCTGGCTGTGTGGTTTGAGTCCTAGGTTGGTAGCTTGAAAAACATGTGAGGTGAGTGTGTGGTATACCCAAAATCCCAACAGGCTAGAGAAATGGAGATGGGATTGTGGCGTGATCATGGCCTATGGGGGGTGCTATTTTTTTAAGAGATTTTTGCTGTAGGGCACATACACTTGCCAGAAAGACAGAGAGAGACAGAAAGCGAGAAGTCACCCTCCAGGGGGGATGGCCACGCCACAATCCCTTCTTCTCCATTCTCCTCTCATTATCTTGGGCACGCATGCACACGCACCTGGCGTGAGTCTAAGCACTGGGTCCAGGACTCAAACTGCAGTCAGCTACATGGGAGTCCAGTGACATAGCCATTATGTCAACTGCTGGTCCCAGCTTTTTTTTTTTTTTAAAGATTTTTTTGCTGTAGGGTGTGTGTGCTTCCAGAGACATAGAGGCAGAGAAACAGAAAGTAAGAAATCATCCCCTGGGGGTATGGCCACACTGCAGTCCCTTCTTCATTCTCCTCTCAGGATCTTGGGTACACACACACCCAGGGTGAGTTTTGAGCTGCCAGGTCAGGGACTTGAACCATGGTCAACTACATGGAAGTCCAGTGATGTAGCCATTATGTCATTTGCTGGTCTCTGGGTGTGCTTTCTCCCTCTCCTACTTGCCCCTTTTCTGTCTCTTTCTCTTTCCTTCTGCCAAGTGCAAGCTCCCTCGGGCAAGTTAAAAACAATTTAAAAAATTAGGCAAGGGAATTAAAAATCAAGATAAATAAAAGCAGGTAAGGAACTTGTTGGCAGTGAAAAACAGAATAAGCCCAGAAGCATCTATGTATGTGGGGTTGACAGTCAAAGCAGGTAGTGAAATGAATGAGGAATGAGCATGATTTGCTTATTTATTTATTTATTTTTTGAGAGGTTTTTGTTATAGGGCGCGTGCGCTCGCTAGAAAGACAGAGAGAGAGATATAGAAAGCGAGAAATCACCCCCCCGGGGGGATGGCCATGCCGCAATCCCTTCTCCTCCATTCTCCTCTCGGGACCTTGGGCACGCACATACATGCGCCCAGCGTGAGTTTAAGCCACGGGGTCTGGGATTCAAACCATGGTCTGCTATACATGGGAGTTCAGCGACATAGCCATTACGCTAACTGCTGGTCCCAGCATGATTTGCTTATTTAATGCCTGTATCCCTGGAATCATCAGAGAAATAGTTGGTGGTCTTGAAAGAGGGCCATGGGGACAGGGCCTCTGAAGAGACAACCTCATCCTTGTCATCCTGAGGATAGAGGAGCTGTCTACCAGGGCTAGCCTGATGCTAGAGGCACGGGCAGTCGCACCTCTGTGTTCTTTGGGTACGAGCACTGAACCACGAGTCACGAAGCTTAACTTCCAGCCTAGGTTAACCTTTGGTCTCATCACCGGTGAACCTTAGACCCTTCATCAGTAAGTGAAGGGCTGGCCTAGATAGGCCTGCCGCTCTCACATTCATTTTAGCACTCTTGGTTCCTGCTGGGCTCCTAGAATATTGGTTCCAAGGCCCTTTGCTAGCACAGCCAAGGCTGTGGGGTTGTGTGGATGATGTGGAAGGGTCCTGACTCCCTGTTCCCATTGGAGCTCGTTCATTAGCCTTTGCTTGGACACTGCCGTCCTGTGCTCAGAGCTGCTTGCTCTCTCTGCCACATGAACCCTTATCCCCAAGGCATCGCTGCTGTGAGGTGTGGTAAGCTTTGAAAGGATGGGGGACAACATGCAGATCAGCTGGCCCAAAGGACACCGAGACGAACCACCTTTTGGCTAGGCCATCCCACGACCTCATAGTCACTTTACGGGGCTGTCTCGCAGTGCAGCCATGGCCCCAGACTTTGGTCCTTCTCAGGGATTAGGGGGTCGGGAACCCCAGGCCTTTCCCTAGAGCCCTGTCACCAGTGTTGGGATTAGGTCAAAGCTTGGCTTTGAGTCCAGCGCCAATGGTAGTTTCTGGGTGTGAAGGGGGATGAAAGTAAGGCTGTGCTGGCCGACCCTCAGCAGAAGTGGAATGCTCTGAGCCCAGGCTGTGCTCAGTCGGGGGACACATGGCATGGACTTTTACCACACAAGTTTATTTAAATAAAAGTGAACACGTATGCAGGCTGGTGCCCGAGGGGCCGGGGACCGGGAGGTGCAGAGGGGTGACAGACGTACAGGAGGGTTCGGAGTCTGTGTGGTGTGAACCAGGCTGCAGGAGGGAGCGGCTGGGGGCCTGAGCACTGCCGGGCTTGGGTGCTGGGGTGGGGGCCTCGGGTAGGAGAGCCTGGTGCCAGGAGGTTTCCATCCCTGCATGCTCCCCTCCCTCTCCCTGACCCCAGGACCATCTGCGCCGCCTCCTTAGCCCATCTCCCTCTCCTGACATCAGCCTTCCCCTCAACTACTGGGAAGTCAAGAGACAAAATAAATAAGAATTGGTGAGTCCTGCCCCAGCCCTGCCCCGGGAAGAGAAGCCAAGCCAGGCACACTGCCCCAGAGCCAGAGCTGTCAGCCCTGGAAAAGAACAGGTAAAGTGCAAGGAAAATCCAGTAAGTAAAAATATACCAATGACTTTGTCAAATATACAGCTGCTGGCTGCCGAGGAGCAGGTGGCTGGCTGGGGCGGGTGGCAGCAGCACCCGGGGGAGTGTTGGCCGACACAGCATAGAGACAACGGAAATAAATAGGGGCGAGGAGCGGGCAAGGGGCCCGCCCACTGGGCCAGTGCCACGGATGGGCCTCTGCCTGCTCTCCCGCCTTGTACCCCCAAGCCCCGCTGGCCCGGCCCCCCAGTGCTGCGGCACTGACACAAAGCACCGACTGACGTGGCTGTAAGGAAAGGACTATAATGGGGGGTGGGGCGGGAGGGGAGCGCGGGAAGCCGCGCAGTCAGCCAGGGCTGGGGTGCCCTCAGTACTCGTCCTGGTCTTCCTGTTGGTGTTCTTCGATCTCGTCGTCCTCAGGGGGTGCAAATCCTTCCTGGAGGGTGGGAAGGGACAGGGATGTGGTGAGCCAGGCTGGCCAGGCCCAGGGATCAGGCATCATGAAGCCTATCCTGGATTAGTGACTCCAGACTCTCTCTGCCAGGAGGTGTTCTCCAAGGTCCTGTCATATTTCTGGACTTAGGGCCAAGCCAGAATGGGTGAGGGCCCTGAGGGCCTGGGACGTCAGCAGGGGCAGGGGAAGCTCACCTCAGTGGCATAGAGGATGCCGATGATGCCCGAGATGACGGGGCTGTTTTCGCTTTCGTGCTCCTGGCAGATGAGCTCAATGTCCCGAAGCTTGCTGAAGTAGAAGTCACGCTCCTTCTCCAGCCCATCCACTGTCAGCTTCAAGTCCAGCAGCTGCTTGGGGAGAAGGTGGTGTTCAAGCCGAGGTCCCTGCCCCAGATGTCTTGGGTATCCCAAGACCTGACTTTTTTGGGGCCCTCAGCTGCCCTTACCCATCCCACTCACCTGTTGGTTGAGTTCAAGAATTTGGGCATCAGTCTCATGGCCGCCGTTTCGGGCTGATGGAGGATTTTTCCGCAGGATGCAGGGAGGGGCCACGTTACTCAGTCGGCCAGAGGTCTGCATGTTTTTGGGGCCTGTGGGGGACGTCCTCTGCGGAACTGCCCAGAGGAGAAGGGTCAGATGAGGCCACCTGAGCCCGTAGCGCATGTGGCATGAGAAAGCCTGGTGTGGACTGCAGAGCAGGCCCATGCGACAGGCAGGCACTCACCCCCTCCCTCTCGGGAAGGGCATCTACATCTAGGGCTCAAGCTTCGGCCCCGCGTGACACTACAGCAGCGAGGCAGCCCTTCGGCAAGCCTGGGAGAGCAAGGGCTGCAGGGGACTAAGAGAAGGCGTGAGGTGCTGGGGCAGAGAGAGATGAGAGAAACTGGGGCTGTGGATCTAGGGGAGTGGAGCTGGCAGGGTTTGGGGGCCTTGTGTTGACAGCTTGAGCTGGCCCATCCCGAGTCCCTGTCTCAGGATGGGCTCTGCTGCCCTTCACCAGGCTGAGCTGGGCACTGCGCAGTGGCGGCCCACTCAGGGACCCCGGCTCCTCCCCAGCATGGCCGGCATGCTGTGGCTACTTGCTCTCCAGCGACCGTACCTCCCTACACAGCAGCTGCTTCTAGTGCAAAGCAAGCAGGCGAGTGGGAGCAGGCCCAGGCGGGACACAGCGCAAACGGTGGAGGTGGCTCTGCTATGACGGGGTCAGACGCGGGCTAGGGCTGCTCTTCCTGTCCCTCCCCAGGCCTGCTGTCCTCCATAGGCCCTATTGCTTATTGCTTCCCTCCTTTTCCCTCAAGGATCCAGACAAGCTCTCATTTTTTCTAGAGACGCATCTCTTGAGGACTTAGGGCTACGGGCCTTTGGAACAGGGGAAGGTATAATCGAGCCCGGCAGACTCCTTCCCTTGGGCATCCAGTGGGCAGGTGGCAAGAAGGGGCTGTGGTGCTGGCACCAGGCCGTTGGCCTGGATGGGCCTGATGGAGAAATCATGCCACCTTGCTGTCCCTTCATCTTGAGACAAACAAGTTAGTTCATGCTATGAAACAAAATGCCCTGGGCTTTCTACCACCAGCTGCTACCGTGGCTGGTGCTGGTGGCTCTCCTCTTAGGACAATTTTGGGAGCCCTTTCACCCCCTACTGTGACTTCCCCGGCCTAAGTGGGCAGCAGGCGGCGTCATCTGAACTCCGTGATAACAGTCTCCTCCAGGCTGGCAGGGGCGGGGCCGGGGGCCCAGGGGCAGTCCAGGCTGGC